AGCCAGGCCCGCGACTGCGGGCACCCCCCGGGCAGGGGGGCGAGGGGAAGGGGCGCCCAGCGCCCCCGTCTCCGTGCCCGGAGGCCTGCCATCAGGCTCCCACAAAGGTCTCTGGGTCTACAGGTGCCGCGCTGGTCCCTGAGGGCTGGGAGGCTCACGCCTCCACCCGCGCCTGCCAGTGTGGCGCAGGTAAGGAGCAGCCCTGGCGTGGGTGGCTGAAGGCCTGGCTTGCTGTCTGCTGGGACACTTGGGATCCATCGCTGTCTGCAGGGACTGTGAGGTCCTCAGGGAAACAATGAAATGCCCGGCTCTCCACAAAGCAGCGTCGGGGTGTCGGTGACATCTTGGTGCTGCTGGGTGAGAGGCCAGTGGCGCTGGTGGCATGGTCCTGGCTGACTGTGGTCCTTCTGGGGCTTGCAGGGTACCACAGCATGAGAGGGCTTGTGGCAGCGCACACACTACCTGTTTCACTGCTGGGTTTTTTTTCCCCAGGGCTTTGAAGGAGACAAGGAGGGCTTTATTTCACCTCCAAGCTACTCACCCTACTTCAGAGAAAAAGAGCCTCCCGCCATTTTGCCATGCCACAGGAAAAGCAGAGGTAAGGTGGGGTGAGCAGAGGTTACTGACACAGCTGTTGAGCAGTGTGATGTTTTGGGAATAGCTACAGGTCGTGGGATAGTGTTTGGGCGCTGGGCAAATGGAAGTAAGGGAACAGGATTGATTTGGCACTGGGGGAGCAGAGTGAAATGTTGGGAAGGTGACAGACGGTTGGGAAGGTAGTAGAGGGAAGAGAACCTGTAATACCAAACAGAGAAAAACTTTCTCATTAATTTTTGGAGATGAATGAACACCAACTTCCTTATATGCTAGGAGCAAGCAGAGAGAGACGAATCAAAAGACAGGACACAACTACTATTTAACTGCTGTGTCTTAAATTGTGTCATCTGGGAAGTCTGGCTATGACTGTTGATCTTGTGATGAAGTCTTGCTAATGATTCTGCTGTACTGATTGTTGTTACTACCTCCATGCTTTGCAGGCATTGAGAGCTACAGGCCAAGTACTGTATGGAGGTAAATACTAGTTGTATATGGACACCTTGCTGAAGTGGCTATGGAGCAGAGCTAGCTATTTACTTCTCAAAATCCAGACATATCAAATAACATACATTTAAAAGGTAATTATGCTTTTTTAAAAAAAATCTGCTTATTGTGGGTTCATCAAGTTATATTCTATAGATGTTTTGAGGAAATGTAAATTTTCTATGTGGGTAGTCATGTGGTGAATCATATGTACCATCTCTGCATGTAGATAATTATTAACTGGATGGATGCTGCATTTGGAAGGTGCCTATCTTCTATGAGTTAACATAGAAAGTTCTAGTAGACTTCTAACATGTGCTCTAGGAGGAAAACCCTTCTTCAGATGAATTTAAGTGGTCTACTATAGTTCTGCAATGCATCCATGTTATTATTAATGTATATTTTAATATGTAAATACTTATTTTTATTTATGTTAGTATTTTTATATTATAAATACATTCAGGGACTACATCTAGCCTGCTTATGTTTTGTATTGCAGGTTTGTATTTCTTTCATTAAAAAAAAAGAAAAAAAATGATGACTTGTAGATTTGAATGCAAACATGTTGTCAGCAAGTGGGCTGAGTAGTGGTACAGCTTTTCTCCCATCAATGTGAGGGTGTTTACCATGTTAATGGGGACCTTCCCATTCTCTCACCATAGATACCGTTTTGGAGCCTGCATCGTTTCTGAAGAAAATGTGGATTTAAGGCACATGTGCTTGATTACGGTGTCTAAGAGATCATGGTAATTTAAAATGCTCTTTGCAATCCATTTGTTTTCGCAAAAATGTCTTTTGGCTGTGCCTGGGCCTTCCCATCTCTGAGCAGCAGAATGAATAAAGAAACAGTGAGTTATCACAAAGATATAAAAGGAGACAGTTTTATAACAGTGAGAGTATTTCTAAGCGTACTTCACAATTTATGACATCATAAGTCACCTCTTCACAGATGGTGAGGTAAAGCTTTTTTAATGCTTGAGAGACTCTTATTATTCTAAGAGTGCCTGATATACATAAAACCCTTTTTTTTTTAAGAGAACATTTCGTTGTGGTTGGAATTCAGGTTTTGGTTGTAAAAGTGACTTCTCATTAGGACTCCTCAATATGAAATGCCTTGCAGTAAAGGAAAGGAAAATACCACAATTGTATCATTATCCCTAAGCGTATTAAGAAAATTGAGTCTCTGCAAATAACCCTGCATTTACTTACCAATATACTGAGCTTGACTTTGTAGCCATACTCCAGAATCCAGTCTGTGGTGCATATACATGTCACAAATTGTAGATATGTTCTTTTTATGCTCTTTTAAAGTAGTCGATGTGTTCTTTTTATGCTCTTTTAAAGTAATCTCAAATTTCTCAAGTATATGGAGGTATTTCTCACTGCTGGGAATATTAGATAAATACTGGCAGACCAGTAGTAAAGCAAATCACTGGAAACTAATGGAAAAATTATTTCACCGGTGTCAGTGCAAAAGAACTCAGCTGAGGTTACGTTCTGTTTGGATACTTCTTGTTTTCATTGGAGATGTTTCAACCGGAGATGTCTCAATTAGGGACAGGCTACCGATGTCGTGTCATACGCAACAATACATCTTCACCTGCTCATGCTTGATGTTGTTTCCAATGAAATAAACACAGGCATTACTACTTATTTTAATATTCTTGAGAGCAGAGCTCTGCTGGTTTTGGTTTTGGGGGTTTTTGTTGGCAAAGTAATTCTTTTTTTGGCACATGCTATGAGTTAGCGTTTCACTTGAATGTGAGTTAAGACACAGCTTGAAAGCGAGGCTATTTTAATTGATAGAGCTTTGGGGAACTAACTTTTCTCCTTCTTACAAATTAATGAAATTGTCTAGATTAAATCAATTTAAATGGAGTGAGACAGTGAGATAATGTGCTAGCCTTTCTATCTGAAAATCTCTCTGCTATTTAGATTGATGGCACCAGGCCAGTCTCTAATGGATGTGTTTGTCTACATTACAGAAGAACTTCCTGCAGTCTTGACTTTTGCTTCAGAGAGGTTGAGGATTTGGAAGGTACATTTTTGTACCCTGGAATGAAAACATGCTAGTAGAGCTATGCATAATACCTGTTTCTATTCTGCACAGGAATTTATTGCATTTATAATAACCAGATTGACATCTGTGTTTTCGCTGACTACTTGAATGAAATAAAGAATGAAGTGTTAGTGGCTCAGCATGATCTCTGATTTTGAGGAGGGCTGAAGAGATGTTTAAAATAATCTTCATACCTTTCTGATTCTGGGCTGTATTATAGAACACAAGCATTCTGTGCATTGGATACTGAAGAGCATACAGCGGGATTGAAGTCCAAACTATGCTTCTCCCAAGTTTTATCAGTGTCTTATATCTAGTATCGTACGTGCTTCTGTTGGCGGTCATTTTCCATCATGAATTTTCTTGTTGTCTGTGCTCTCAGCTGCATGCAACACCTCCCTCCTTGCTGAATCGCTGGCAGCACCGTGTAATCAGCTCATGCAGTATTTCTTTAAATCCCATTTTCAGACGTTTCCTGGTCTGTACGTCCTGCTCCACATCTGCACATCTACTCCTCCTGTAGAGACGTTCATTTGTCTTCTGACGGGTTACAAACTTCCTAGTCATTAATCTATTGTCTAATTGCTTACCTGTCACATCTGCAAGTGTCTTTTTACACCATCACTCATTGCTGCTGTGGAAGACACAATACTGGGCTGGATGGACAAATATGCATGCCCAGTAGTTTATTTCTTAGGTTCATACTTCAGGTACACTGTCTGTACTACCCTGCTTTAGCTTATGTAATGGGTTGTAAAGGAGACCACAAGGTCAGAAGCACATGTTGTCAGTGAAATGAGACATTCATTTTCCAAACACATCGTATTTTCCTCAAATGTTTCTATTCCACTGGAAGCATTATAATCCAAGCTTTGCTCTACAAGAAAATACATGAATGTTCTGCCATACGGTATCTGCAAGCATGAGCATATAAAAAGTTACTGAAACCTGATAAAATGCTCTCAAATATGATCAGTTAGAGCTTAGCCAATTTCACTGAAGTCTGCGGGTTAGCAGGACCACAAGTTTACTTGTTTGTGTGGTAGTGGAAGCTTGAAGCGAAGAGATTAAGGATACACTTCTGGATTTATGCTATGTTGCAACTGTAATGACTGCAAGAAGCTGAATGTGGTATAAAAAGACATAAAACATAAAAAAAAATTTTGCCCCAAAATATTGGAAAAAAATAATTGAGTGGTCCAGCTGCCATAAATTGGGTCTCTCATTCATTTGTCCGTGTCCTTGCAGAGGGGAAGTCTAGCAACCAGAATCTGCATGTATTTCTGGGCAGAATTTTGGTGCTTAGTCTTGACCCTACTAAGAGATTTCTGAGTGATTTTCAGATCAGCTCTGACTGCATTGTTTTCTAATGCGTGGTAAGATTTCATTGTTACTTACATCTTTGGATTTAGGGCTATAATCTGTTAATCCCTAAAATGTCATCAGATAAGCTGTTTAATCATAAGCAAAATCTGATCTTGATAGTCAATATGTGTTAACGCAGAATAGTTCAGACACACTACTACTTTGTAAGTATAGAAACTTTCAGATCTTTCTTTCACATTCATCCACAATTAAAAGTAGGTTTTTGTTGCAGTTTCAATACAGATATGATTGTCCTGAGGCATTATTGAAATCTCTCATGGAGTCTGATATTAAATTTTGGTATTGTAAAATGTCTTAATTTTGAAGAAAGTTTCTAAAATATTTATGATCTGAGGCACTCCATGGTGGCTTCATGATTAATTTTAAATTACTGATAGCACGATTATCTAGAAAGGCCCAAATACTGGTGTCACAACGCTCTCCAGTGTTCACTATCCATAGAGTGACATGACAGAAGTCCAGTGATGTTCTTCACTGTTTTGTTACACCAGGGAAGCCGGCAGTAACTCCTGTGAGTTTCGTTCATTTCTGCTTGGTAGGAAGCTGCTCTCACCAGCAGAGGGCACAGAGGACCTGATTTCGTCTGTAGAGGACACAGCAGAAAGGTTCAGAGAATCCCTCCTGGCTATTTTAGGGAAAAAATAACCCTATGAATTCCGTGTAGAATTAATTAGTATTCCAACTAGTAATGTTACCTCTGGGCTTAACTGCTGCGTGTTACTAGGCTTGTAAAAGCTTTGGTTGCTACACACGACGGCCCACCACTTTAGCAGTTCACTTGTCCCACTTGGTTCTCAAATGATGTTATTTGAGTTACAGGACTGGTTTGAGTTTATGAAGACACTGACTTATCCCTGTGGCTATCACATCCCACAGGATATTTGCATCTTTGCAACAACTAAACCCTGATGAATTTAGGAGGGGTCTTGTATTCAGACTGGCCCTTCTTGATAACTGACTGAATTCTTGTGTGGTTCCCAAAGAGGTGAGAGTGACCATGTACATCACTATTGCATTATTTTACCTATAGGTGAGGGTAGAGGGAGCCATTTGAACACTTCCAGTTAGAATTTCATGCTCAGAAGCAGTACTCTGAGCCAAACTGGATTTCCAGAAAAAGTATGTACGATTTGATCCTTTGTAATTCTTTCTGAGTCATCAGCCCTGTAGGAACGAGCCTCTGCACTTGGATGAAGCCTTTAAGGACCCAAGCTGGAGGCACTACTGACAACAAGAAAGAAAATGAAGACTGGAGTAGACCCAGGGTCATCCAGAAATGTTTCTGTTGCTCATCTCTGTTCTTTTGCCTCAGGCTGCTTTTTGACATTCAGTCCTCATGTTGTGAAATGCTGAAGTATGCAGACCTGCGTTTGTGATATGCCTAATATAATGGAACCTGTTTGTGGTAGATCTTGGATTTTGTCCTTGATCCCTGCCTGGCAGCTCATGTGCCAAGTGACATATGTCCACCCATTTAGTTCCTCTGGTTTTATGCTCGGAAGCTGTTATCCCCAGTCTGGGTCTCCCGGGAATTCCCTGGTGGTGTCATACCGCGCTGTTATTTGTACCTGGGGTGCTTGACTGCTGCATGAGACATGTGCAGTCTGCATTTCCTTCTCCCTCTCCAGCAGTACCAACCAGGCAGCAGAAAACCCATTGTTATATTTGGCGTTACATGTACAGCATATGTCAAAATTCTGCATTCAGGTGTAGAAATCTTGTACTAGCATTAATCAGTTTCCATGAGCTGTCGCAAAACAATTCATCCTGGTGCTGGATCACAACCCGCAGAGGGCAGCCTGACCTCACGTTTTACTCTAGCAATGTGCTCAGCTGCAGAATTCAGTCAGCTGCTGGCATCTCTATCAGTCTGTCTTGCTGTGGAATAAACAACTGAATATTTTGGAGAATTAGCATCAGCCCTAAACTCAGATTCAAAAGTGGACAAAAAAAAAAAATAATTGCTTGACTAAATTAAGCCTTCTGGTATTTTTTCTTTTTAAACATATCGAAAGAAAAAAACCTGCGTGAGGAAACTCAGCTAGACCTGAGGTTTAAATATCTCACAGATAAGTTTATTGGTAGATGTCAATAGGCAAGAGAAAGAAAATACCCAGAATATGTGTACCTGAATGTACTGGACCAGACTAACAGGAGAAGAAAAGTGGTTTTTTTCCAAATCTCTTCAGAAATCTTTCAAGATTTCAGTTACTGTTACCATGACTGTTAGACTGTGCCTTTGGCTGGTTGGCCCATGTTCTTTCCCAAGTGTGTCCTGAGTCCTTGTGAAACAGCCATCACAATTTCAAGGAGTTTGTGTCTAAAAGGATGTGTCTACATGCAGGCATGTGCCTTAGCTGTAAAACTGATCAGTGCCGGGGTCAGGACTAGGGGTTGCTGTCTTGACCTAGTATGACAAGGAACAAGGCATTCAGTTCCTGAAAAAGAGCCAGTCCTTTGTGTCTCTCAAATCAAATTGCATCTACCAGCTAATTAAGGAATGATCTTGATGTGCTCTGAAGGGAGGCCTGTCCAGTTCTATACTCCTCAGCCAGAGGGCCCTGCAATACAATGTTCAGAGTGGAAAATAAGTATAAAGAAAATAGCATGTGAAGAATTAAGGCAGCCTCAGCAATGCCTGAATTCTAGAAGTACCAGAAGAAACCTAAGTATCTCTCATGATCAGATGTCAGATTACTGATTGATGTACTTTACCATTGACATAGATACTTAATTTCTTTGGTCCCAGACTTTCTATCCCACGTAAGCATGGCTGTTCACAGCAGAATGCATATGTTTCTCAGTGTTTGGCTCATTATAACTGCAACTCCAGGTGAATTTTTGCTTCCGATTCCTAAAACTTTCTCTATGTATTGGAGTGCTGAGAGATTTTTACTCTGGTTTATTCACAATATCCTTTGCTATTCTTGCTATGTTATTCATAAACATCTTTGCTAATGTGAACTTTGACCAAGGAAATTTCTTTTTACATTGATAGCATGATATAAAAGTTACTCTACATAAAAATGCGTGCACTTTTAACCAACTCTGATTGCATAATTTAATTTGGTTTGGCCACAGCAAATTCTTTAGGGTAAAGGGTAAAGTAGAGCACACAGTGAGACAATGCCCTTACTTGATGTAGATCTAAAAACTCTAATTTATGATTAACAGCAAAGACAGTTTATGGGATTGTCTTTGTATCTCCTGTAGGCATGCATCGAATAAAAAATTAGAAGAAAAAACAATTTAGGAGTCAAGATTCACAGCTCTTGTTCGTGGCACATACTTCATATGGGAGCCTGTGAAAACCTGATGCAAAACCCGATTCAGTTTCTGCCGCTGGGATCTTCCTAATAAGAATCCACATGTAGGGGTGGTGCTGAAGTTCTTCAGCAGTAAATGCTGGCCAGCATTTAGCTGTTCCTTCCAAACCTGACTTTCAGAAACTAGTTTGTCATTTTGGCCTTTGTGCCCTAAGTTCCCACAGGTACGTTGGCCATTTTGGTGCAAGAGCAACACAGACTAGATATTAACAGGCTTATCTGGGGGCTTCTCCTTAGCTGCCAAGATTGCCAATATTTCTTGGTTATATGAAACCTATAGCATTTATGTGATAGCGTGATCTTACATGATCTGTGTATAAAATGTTTGTTTCTTGAGTCTAGTAGTCAGTACTGGCTCAG